TGTGGCCAGGTTACTATTTAAGACACAAGTAACAGGTTAACACCATCATAAATGTAACATCTGCCAGGGGCCATATGAAACATGCATGGTTTCATATAAAATATAATAGAGAAATTAAAAAATATCAGGACACATGGAAAGTATTCAGGTACCATAGCTGATAAAATCTATGGATGCTAAAAAGATGAATAATAACTAGATGAACGGCAAACAGCTAATCTGGAAAGTAAGAGATGGCTGGATAACAAAGTGAATGGGAATCAGACAGCTAAATAAGTAACAGAGGTGGTTAAAAAATCTCGAAGCTACAGACAGATGGCTGAGAATCAAATAGAATGATATATAGTATAGAGATGAATGAACAACAGATGCACAGGAGTTAACAGCCATGTGCAGTGGTGCTGGATGGCCAATAGATAAATGCTGTTTCTCAAAGTGGAATACCTGTGTTTATCATTCTGTCATTAAAACTTTTCAGCCAAGGTATTCTTTTGTAGATATGCCCTGTATTTTCCCACATTGACAGTCTGAGCCTTCCAGAAGAAATTCCATTACAATGACTTGCTGGCATTTTCACTATACAAATGTTAAAGTGCTGCCAGGATATTTCCATCTCTATGTGGAACAGAGGGGAACAAGGAGGTGTGCTTTCCTACTATTTCTAGTTCTTTCTTTGGTAATTTATTTTACTGGATAGAGCTCTCCTATCAACCCAATGACATTATATGCGTATGGCTTCTCAAGGTAGGGTTTCAGCATTATCCTTGAGTATGAAACCTCCAGCCAATTTTGGGTGTTCCATTTAAATAACCCTCTTTTGATGATTAAGCTGGCTTTACAGTGTCTTTGCAGCCTTAATGCTTCCCAAAGAAATGATAGTTAGAACTAGGGTTTAACTTACTGGGCAAGTCTACATGAGACGCTGACTGTGCAGTAGCCAAATAATACTGTACAGTAACACGTCACAGTATGGACAGTGCTAATATGCTATTGCACAGTAGTGTCACTAAAAAGATGTTTGCCGGCACTATTGCACAATAGCTCTGGTTTACTGCACATTTATTTAGTACTTGATTATACAATAACACTATTGTACAGTAACCACTGCACAGTAGTGTCTCATGTAGCTGCATCCGCTGTCTTTTTTGCCACTTAATATATTACAGTAGTCCCCATTTAAAATTATTGTACTGATAGCTGAAATGCCAGCTACAGGCCATTACTTAGAAGAGGATACACATAGTATTCACTAGCAATTCAGTTTTTTAGTGGTAAACCACTGTAGCTTACTATCAGAATGAGTCACCTGGTCATTGCATAAAAATGTTACCTTAAGTTTGTGAAAGGGGTGACAAGCGGTGCCAAGCAGTAGCCATAAAGAAAAGGAGGACTTAAACAGAACAGAACAGGACGAAAACAAGGATCCTTAGTACATAGAATGAATCTCCTTAAGGCATTCGACAGAGTAGAAAGCTATCTTCTCCAAGCCATGCTCCTGTTCAGCACTTGATATGCCAGCTCTTATTTTGCCTTCAGAGACAAGACATTATCACATCCAAAACTCATCAGTAATTTCTGCACAATCTGTGTTCCATTCCATAGGAATGTTAAGCAGGCACTTGGCTTTTCCAAAGTCCATTCATTTATTTCCACATGCCTCATGCCTGATGTATTACTGTCCCTCCTCCTCCAGGATCTCCATTGTGCCACTCAGGCAGTTCTCCAGAAATGGAGCAAGGAGAGACAAAGATGCAGTCTGACTGCTCAGTTTCCTCAAAACTGGGTTACGTGGTTGAACTACAGATTGAATGTCTGCCTCAAGAAATGTATTTGGAAAGCTATGCATTTGAAGAAATGGCCTTTTTAAGCTCAGAAAAGGCTCTCCTAGCCCCTTTCGCAGCTTTGCTTCTCAGGTCATGCTAAACTAAAAATGCAATGTATTCTGGCTGTAGTATCTAATAAATAGTAGTAGCCCTGTTAAGGAACAGAAAGGGCATACCTGTTGTAGCCACAGCTTCCAGAGGATGGGAGCGCTGTCCTCCCGCCATTCCATACACCTTGACTTTATAGGTGGTGTTAGCCTGGAGGCCATCAATCACAGCACCTAAGGATTCTCCGGGCATGAAGACTTCTGCAGGGAGCCCAGCTGCCAATGTCACTTCCTCATATGCCACCACAAAACTAGTATAGGCTCCTGCATCCGCCTTCCACGAGAGACCAAAGCCATGGTCTGTTATATTGGAGACCAGAAGGTCCCACAGCGTAGCCTCCCACATCCCAGAAGCCTCAGGAGCAGGAGAGCTCCAGAAGCCTGAGTGCTCATCTGGGCCAGGAGTTGCTCCCTGCATTAGTTCTAGACTATATACAGCTATAAAAAAAACATGTAAGCAGAAGGTACAGAATGAAACACTTAATTCCTTCATTTTTTTTTCACTTATAAAAGTCAATGTATGCAGTATTTCACATTTATGACTTGACTTTGAATACCACCATTCTGGGCTTCAACACATACCCTTTTAGCACCAAAGCAGGAATCTCTACCACTTCAGACAAAGAACCAACTCAGAGAGGTAGTAGGAAGAGAAGACTGCTACTCATGTGTGTGTCAACCCCTCACAGAGTATGGCATTTGTTTTGCCAGTTTGCTGCATGAAACATAAAACTTCTTAGTGCTTGTTGCTTCCATACTCAGAAAGGGGTAGAAGATGTGGGGGAGAGGGGAACCAGCCACACGCATATATGGTGTATAAGAGAATAATGTTGTCCACTCTAAGACAGAAGGAATCTCTATCTTACAGGACTTCAGCAAGAGAAATGTTAACACTGCAAACCAAAAAATACCTACCCTGAAAAACAAAACTAAAAGCTCCCTGAATTGTGCAGACTGAGAAGCCCAACTGAGCAGTCTGAAATTTTGGGAGGAAATAGAAAATTTACAATAGAAATATTAGTAAACAAAAGGAACTTTGCAAGCAAAATATTCCCTGCCAGAAATGGAGTGTGAACTATAAAATCCACAATATGAATCTGTTTCCTTTTTGGTCAGTGAGGAAGAGAAATGTGTATAGTGAAGGGCATGTTTGCAAACTATGTCCATTGTGCTTCCTCCTTACTAATAACATACATAGAGGATACAAAGAGGTAGTTCAGTTCTAGTCATGAGCATGGTACTTTCTACCTTAATTAGTTTCTTTCTGACCTGCAGCTCAGAGGAAACACTTCCCCCACTAGAGAAATGGATCTGATGTCATCTATGGCTGGAGGCAGAATGGGTGAAGTAAGATTTGCTTTGCTTGTCCTGAGGACTGGAGGTTCAAAGCAGAGTTGGGGATGTGGCCTGGAAGTTGGAGTAGAACAAAGAAAAAAGCAGCCCCATGTCTCACATATTCTCAGGCACTTGTTTTAGTTTCCTGATGCTTATGGATTTGGATGCATTTGTCCAGGGAAAAATCCTGGAGATAGGTTCACATCTTAGATACTGCTGCTGGAGATTTTCTGTTTGTAATGGTGGCTTTCAGAAAAGGCTTAAAACAATATACTGGTCTGATGGATATATATATATATAAAAAAATCCCAAGCAAAAACAGAAAAGGGTTTGGGAGATTTGGCCTCTGATGCTAGAAATTCCTAGCTAGGGAAATTCCACAGTATGATATTCAAACGTTTTCACCTCCCTGTGTGTTTCCTGTCCAAAGCTTTGTTCATCTCTGGTGTATAGACCTTTACTTAGTGGGTCTCTATCAGTGCCTGCTAAATTTTCTCCAGCTCAGCTCCTGGCCTGACTTATCATACAATTAACTTATCGTTGATCTTTTTTTATGGCGTGTAGCCTATGAACTCTAAGCTGCCTCAAGCAGCTCAACTCTGAGGCATTTATAGGCACAGCTGTCATGAAAAGTAGTATAACAAAAAAGTTGGGTTGGATTGACTTTGTGGCACAAAAATAAGGCTCAACCCCTAACTTAACTTTGAGTCTTCACATGGCCAGGACAATAGTCTGTTGTACATTATTACTAATTTGTGAAATCGTGGTTTATGCAGAGGCTTGTAGTCTAGAAGGCATAAAGGACATGAAGCCCTCAGGCTCAGATCTTCAGCTGGTGTTAACTGATTCAATTCCATGGATTTCCACCATGTTTCAACCCGATGACAGCTGAGGCTGTATCCCATGGTATTTACACACAAACACCCTGAGAACATACAGCACTCAATTATTTTTCATACTGAAGTCCTTAGTTTGATGCAGCCCTATCAGTGCGTCATGCTTATTCACTTTGCACTGTTCCATAGCCAAGGAGCAATGCCACCAGTTTTGGTACAGTTGCTGCAGTACTGCTTCACAGCACTTCCTGTGAATAAGGGAGGCAGAAATAGGCCTTCTCTATTTAGACCATTGTAGTTAATCATGCTATACAACGGACTCAGGCAACTGTGACTAGTATCATAACATTAGCTTTTCTATGCTCTTAAATGATAAAATAGGAAGACAAAATCAAAGCCGTATTGACCCTGCCAGTGTGTGATGTGTGAGGTGGCCAGAGACAAAGCTGTAAAGTAAATTGGTTAGAGGGAATAAAAGCATGGTAAAGAATGCACTGTCGTTATTTTGGTCCTCCTTCCTCTTTGATTGCTTTACTACAGGAAAACAAAATCAATGATTAAATACAAACACACAGAAAAATTAGTCCCTTTGAAAACAAAGGATGAGGTTTTGCATTCCTGGCAGAAGAAAAAGCTATGTTGTATGGATATCCTTAAGGGACAAAGAAGAAAACCACAGAAGAGATGGAGAAAGAAAAGGATAAGGATAAGGGACCTAGATGATTCTTCCTCAGTCTTCCAAACTGGGCCAAGGTGAACAAGGCTTTTCCAGCCAACTGATGTATTTTAAGATGCTTACCAACACCATCTTGGAAAGCAAGTGACACGCTGCTTGGACTGCCAAGCTCACTCAACTTTTCAAAGGATTTAGCACAGTGCATCCATTCAGATGCTGCTACTCACCAGTAGAACCCTTGACAGTTGTGGGTTTGCTTTTATGCCTGCCTTTCTCTGTTATCAGGCTGATGGTATATTCTGTACCAGGATCGAGTCCTTGCAGGATGTAAGAGGTGCTATCTGCTGGGATCCCTACTTCATTCTTCCTTCCAGAAGGGGTAACATAAGTGAGACGGTAGCGATCAAACTTGGCCAGTGGTCTCCTCCACCGCAGGGAGAGACTAGTTTCAGTGGGATCGTTGACTCCCAGGTCCTTGGGACTATCCAGGTCTAGAAGTTAACACAGTGATTACTTATAAGTAAAAATAAATAAATAAATAATGTTTCCTCATACAGGAGCTTAATAGTGCCATTGGGGCATGATTTCAGGAAACTGCGGATGGATCAATACTTATACTTAGTGGCTTAAACACATTCAGGACATAATGATAAATCAGAGCCTGATTTCTCTTTCTTTGTCTTCCAGACCATGCTCTTTGGCCTAAGGAAAGGCAGGCAAAGTTCTGTCCACTTACACACAGAAATGGCATCAAAATCTCTGTTGCTTTAATTCATTTCAACCCAATGCTTCAAAAGGTCAGATGCCACCTCTCATTTTTATGGATGAGAGGTGGCATCTGACCTTTTGAAACATTCATTTTTTTGGAATTTTTCTAGAGTCCTAGAGTAAGGTTAAGTATACCCACTATTAACATTTTCTATTAACTGTTGGAGTCAAAATATATGGTATTCTTGTTGGCTGATTTTCCTCTTTGTTCCCTAGCAGCGGGTCCCAGCCTGCATCAGAATGAAATCAACACATCTGTAAAATTTTCATGAGAAAGAAGGTGTTGAAAAGAGAACTTCAGCACGCCCCAGAGCCCAGTTGTTAAAGCCCTCTCTGAAGGAATGGGATTCTTCTGCTCTCCCATTATTGCAGGGCAATACAATGCAGTCATGGCAGGTGAGTCCAGCCGTTAATCTACTACCTATGCTGGGACCTTTTCCTCTCTGGTTTTACCAGAAATTTCATACTGGAGCCAAGCAATTTCTTTCAATAACAGCTTGTCAAACCTGGAACATTCCTAGGAAAAGTTCTGGTTTTGACAAATCAGCAAATTCCAAACCAAGTCTAAATGTCATGCATATATTTGCTTGAGTTTAAGTATTGTTTTTTTAAAGAGGAACCCTCAAGCCACTCTAGCTTGCTTTGTTGCTTCCTGGCAAGGAGCTACGTACCAGTTCCAGCATTAATAGTAGCAGGAGCACTTTCTGTGTCCTCCTTCACTGCTGTAACTCCAATGCCATATTCAGTTCCAGGCCTCAAACCTATAAGAAAAGGAATACAAATATGACTTGCTATTTATACGTGGTACTAATAGTTTTTTCTTAAAGAAAGATGCAAGATGAAGGAATGTTCATTATTTTCTTTTCCTGTAAACATTAAGGGCATATTTTCAGACAAGTCTAGAGCAGTCGAGATTTCTAGTTCTACTTGTAAACCCTTACTAATCATGATATAAGATGCACCTTCTCCTCTTGCTACTGTAGATCATGGTGAAATGAGGTTAGGTCTTCAGATAATTACTGTTTCAACAATCTTGCAGTGATCCTACCTGTGAGTGTAGCCTTGGTTGTGGCCTGATTGCTTTTTGGCACAGTGATCTCAGCATGGTCTCCACCTGAGATTGGGGCAAACTTGACCCTGTAGCTATCGATGTCTGCTTGACTCCTTTTCCACTCCAAGGTGATGCTGTTGTCTGTCTGAGACACACGCTTCAGGTTCTTCGGAGCATCCAGATCTGTGAAAGGAAAAAACAATTCATTTTCTCATGACAGGTGAGAGGGAATGATGCTTTCATAAGCTCAAGGCTACTGCAATGCAGTGTATGTGGGGCTGTTCTCAAAGACCATCAAGAAGCTGCAGCTGACGTAAAACATGGTGGTCATCTTTCTGAGTGGATGGGTGGGGGTGGTCATCAAGAGCACATTACACCAGGGATCCTGTCTTCAATGTTTTCCAGTAGCTTTCTGGGCTCAATTCAGGGTCCTGATTTTATCTATAAGGCCCTAAATAGGCTGGACCTATTTACCTAAAAGACCACATTCTTCCTTATATTCCATGGTGATCCCTAAGTTTAGCCAAGACCAATCTGCAGATACCATTTCTACACCAAGTTTCTTTGGCAAAAGCATATGGAAGGCTCTTTGCAGCTGTTGTACCTCATCTCTGTACCCAACTGCCCCCTTTGGTTGGTTACAGCCAGAGCCAGTCATCTTCTGAAAGTGTCTTAAAACCTTTATACAGGGGCAGACATTCAGCAGATAGGGTTCAGTTCTGGGGGACTGTTAGGGAGTTTGTTCTATTATTGATTTATCTGGTTTTTATTTTAAGTCCTCTTCTAGGGATTTATCTATGTAAAACTAATAAAGTTGGACTTTTTTTCTGAGGGTCCCCCATTATTTTTCCTGAGTATCTCCATGTAGAGTAGTCCATAGGCACTTGGGAACCTAAATCTCTCTGAAAGTCAATAGGATTTAGGCACCCAAATCACTTATGAAAATGGGACATATTCAAAACATTTTGTGTAACAGCGCATTTGCTTTGTGTTCATTCACTTGCATAAGCCTCTATAACTGATGTATTGCTGTATTGGTGTAGTACCTGGAGACTGACACAATACAACACAGTTAAGTAGTATCAATGTGGTAATGATGATTGCAGGAAACCTTTTACCTGTGAAAAAGACTTCACTCGTGGGGTCGCTTTCCATGTCTCCACGGCGAGAGATCAGCATCACTTCATACTCTGTGAATGGCTTCAGATCTCCAATAGAGTACTGGTTTTCATCTTCAGAGAGATCAATTGTTGTCCTGTCCCCAGGAACATCCTTGGGGCCATATGTAAGCTCAATGCCATCAATTTCAGCCAAGGGTTTGAACCATGTGATCAAAGCAGTGGTGTCAGTAACATCTTTTGCCTCTATCTGGCTGGGAGCATCAAGCTCTGTCATAGGAAGAGGGAAAATGTGAGTTTCCTATCTCATGATGATATCAAATGTTGTCTGGACTTTGACCATTAATTGCTAAATCAAATCAAAGTTAAAGCATGGGATTGCCTATAGCTGGAGCTCATCTTCATGCCTATTTCCTTATGGACTTTAACATTCTACGGATGTAGATTGAAAATGATAAATTCATCCAGCCCTTCTCTGACCCTAGCATGCTGGCACAGGAAAGACAAGCAGAAACCTCAGCAGGTTCTTGACTTGCAAGAGGAATCCTGTGCTTCAGTGTGGTATGTCGGGGGCATGTGGATGTTCCTTCACACTCCTCTTTCTGAAAGGATAAGGGGTATGCTCACACATGGCCATCTAGAAAAAAAAATCCTTTCCTCTACCAAACAGTCAGTCAGGGAAGGGATCCATTTTTCCTTGTGACTCTTACATAAGCTTGTGCAGTTTTCTTTCTGTTTTCAAATGGCTCTATTGCTGCTAGTCTTGTCTTTCCTTTTTTTGCTTAACATCTCCAAAAACTGCCCCAAACAGCAGAAAGGTACTTACTTGTGGTTATCACCTTGGAGAGTCCAGGTCCTCTGGTATTGTTTTTCACAATATGCAGAGATACATTATACTGTTGTCCCGGTGCCAGGCCTGGCTGCATATATGATGTCTCAGGCCTTGTCAAACTTCTGGTTATGTCTCCATTATCTTCCTTTTTCTGTAATGCAGAAGACAATTAGTTGGAATGAAGCAACAAAGAGCCCAAGACCCTTCACTTGTAATGGAGACTTCACAGTATTAGCTGTTTCCTTACCATATTTCTGAAGATAAGCTCCCATCCATCAAAAGAAATGTTCAGAGGATCCCATTCCACCTGCACAGATGTCTCCTTAATAGATTTAAATTTCAGGCCTTCTGGAGCTGGCAGATCTGTGACAGAAAAATAAGGTGGCAACTGCATGAGTGACGGTATTGCCACAAACCAGAAAACTACACATCCACAAACACATCTGATAGACAGACAGGCAGACATTCATTTACAAGTGAATTGTAGTAGGAGGCATTGAAGATGTAACACAAGGATCATCTTAATATTAGCTACAATAGTGCTGATGCAAATGCTTTCATATTTTACTTGGAAGAATTAAAATGATTTTACACATACAGTACAATAGCCTTAACATTTCATTTGTCAAGCAGGAATACAGAGGAATCTAATGATATTTCTTGGAAGGCACCATGCAGAGCTGGAAACTTCCAATACTTTAATTCTATCATTCAACCTCAGAAGAAGTTGGAAAAGAAAACTGAAGAGGCTCTGGTTTGGTCCAGAACATACAGGAATATATATGTGAAGAAAAATAAGAATAGATACAAGCACATTAGGAAGCAGAGAAATGGAGAAACATAGAGAATAGTGTCTTGTTTTATTAAACTCACAGGTTGCTACCCTAGCACTGATTGGGATACTCTTCTTGTTCTTTAAGATGGCAAAGACACGGATAAAGTACTCCACCCCTGGCTCCAGTTCATGGATTGTGGCAGATGTCTGGTTTCCAGGCACTGTGAACTGCATATCTAAGCCACCAATACTGGTAGGAACATAGGTGATGAGGTATTGATTGACTAGATTTTCATTCTTCCATTCCAGATTGACAGTCTTATCTGTCACATTTGTTACAGTCAGGTCACTTGGAGGGGATACTGCCAAAAAGTAATAAAATATACTTTTAAGACATAAAAGGCCAGTGTAGTGAATATGCTGACTTGCCCTATTACACTAATTCCCAGACAGACATTTATACAGAACATAATTTAATAAATAGGCAAAGCCATTCAAACAATTTAGTGTGTTGAAGAAAGACATATTTACTCTAACATAGATAACAGACAGGCTTGGAGATCACAGGCCATTCCTACCGTCACACCATATACAGCCTACTGTTCAACACATTGTACTATGTGTCTCTACTGCATAGGAGAATAAAATGTGGCTTATGTCTCTTTCAGATGAGGGTGATAAGGAATGGGAAATACCATGAGTGGGACAGCAAAAGGTATAACATCTCCCACAGGAAAGACTAGAAGTTGTTTTACTTAGGAGCTGTAACCTTTATTAAAAATAAATTACTAACTCCAGAAAAATGGAAGTGATAGAGCCAAGAATCTGCCCATTCCCTGGTTCTCCCTGGGATGGGAGTAAACAGAGGCCCTGTGCTCATTTATTCGTACACACCTGGAGTCCAGGTTGCTTGCAAAATGGCAAAGAAGATGTAGGTGTGTTCTCTCATTCATGAGCTAGCTATGAGTTTGTCATCAGTGGTACATACCATCAGTTAGTGTTTTACCCACCCCAAAATCCACTCACCTAGACTTTTGAACCAGAATTCAGCTTCCTGTGTGTCTCATAATTTATTGTGATAAAGTGTAAATGGTAGTAAGGAACTAAATGGAACCTTTATATCTAAGTTACCACTCCAGAATTCCTGCCTTTATTCTGGCTCTCTGATGAGCCCAATAATCTAGATCAGCTTTAAGGCAAACTTTTAAGGCTGTAGGCCAGATTGACCAAATATGGGTCAGAGGTGGGAGGGCGGATGCTAAGACTCAGCCTCTGCTACCATTTTTCCCTGCAGCAGCAAGGGGAAGCAACTGCTGCCGACGCCCTGCATCAGCGGGCTGGATCAAATGGCTCTGTGGGCTGAATCTGGCCTGGGAGCCACACATTGCCGACCCTTGACCTAAATTAAAAATTATTTACACAAATAGCCAAATTTTACTTTGATTTGGAAAAAATGGCTCTGGGCACCTGAAGACCAGTATGGGAGATTCCAAGCCCCAGGAACCCAGAAAACAGTTGCTACAATATTTTGGACATCTGTGCCTGTTACTGTGAGTTCTGCATCATTTTCTGACTTTAGCAGGTAAAACTTATTTCACAGAGGAGCTTAGCAGAGAGCTTAGCACCTTGCTTGTTTCCAATTTGGCCTCTGATTTCATAGCTAAGGTACCTGTTTAGGTTGCTTTACTTTCAAAGGACAGCTACTGCCAGATGAATCCCAGAGTCTGTCATATCTTAGTGCCAAAAGAAGCAGAGCATCGCCTGTGTTCTGCTTTGTACTGCTGCAACAGTAAATATAGTGTGGGTGTACAACTTCACTTTCCCAGTTCATTATGAATAAGAACTGTTATAAAGGCATCCTTAATCATGGACCTCATGCTCAGAAACATGTGAAATTCAGAGTATCAAGCCCTGCAATCTTTGTTGCATGTTTCGTAATTCCTAGAGGTACATACACTTTACTTTTTTGTAGGTCAAATTTCTCTCCATAGTTCTTTTAAAAGCAACCTCCTTGGCCAGTCCTGCTGTAGCCCTACCACTAGGTTTCAGGCTCTCTTTATGACCCCCAGGGCTGAGTCTAATTCTTGCAGATACAATTATAGGCTTTTCCCCAGTACAGCTGTAACAAACATAAGAGAAAAAGTCATGTGAGAGGAGAATGAGTGGTCAAGGGGCCAAACTCTCAGCAGTTATAAACTGCTACTGCTCCAATGATGTTCATGGGAACATTGCCAGTTTATACCAGGGGAGAAACTGGACCAGCTAATACATATCTATAACACCAGAATTACCCTACTCTTGGTAGGTTAGCCATCAAAGACACATACAAGGGTAGGTTTTAAAGCCGTGAGCCATAAGGGTGACCAAAGCTTTGCTTTCACTGCTGTAACCCTACTAATCGATGAAGTTGCTGAGATATACTGCTTAAACAAGGTCAGAGTCAGGATCCAGCTTCTTTAAAAAAACTGCCAAATAAACAACAGGGTTATTTAAGGGTAGTTGGCTATAATTAACATTAGAACCTACCATCAGAGCAGTCGTCGCCAATGTATCCATCATCACAGACGCAACGTCCATCAACACAGCGGCCCAGGTTGTTGCAGTTGTTGAGGCAGGATCGTTGGCTGCAGTCCTCTCCAGTGAAGCCCTCATCACACACACACTGCCCCTCAATGCAGCGTCCCTGATTGTTGCAGTCATTGGTGCACCGTAGTTGGCTGCAGTCAATCCCTGTGAAACCTTCGTCACACACACACTGCCCGTTCTCACAGCGGCCTTGGTTGTTGCAATTGTCCAAGCAAGCAAGCTCACCACAGTCCACTCCAGTGAACCCCTTCTCACACACACACTCCCCATCCACACAGCGTCCTCGGTTGTGGCAGTCATTGGGACACCTCAGTTCAGAACAGTCTTCTCCTGTGTATCCTTCATCACACACACACTGCCCGTTGACACACCGTCCGTGTTTGCTACAGTCATTGGGGCACCTCAGCTCACTGCAGTCGTTGCCTACAAAGCCCTCATCACACACACAGATGCCTTTGACACAGCGTCCCCGGTTGTAACAGTCATTGGGGCACCTCAGCTCACCACAGTCTTCGCCTATGAACCCCTCATCGCATACACACTGCCCCTTGACACAGCGTCCACGGTTGTGACAGTCATTGGGACACTTCAGCTCACTGCAGTCTGCACCCATGAAACCCTCATCACACTCGCATTGTCCATTGATGCAGCGTCCATGGTTGGAGCAGTCCTTGGGGCACCTTAGTACACCACAGTCTTCACCCATGAAGCCCTCATCGCATACACACTGTCCATTGACACACTGCCCACGGTTGTTGCAATCTTTGGGGCACTTCACTTGGCCACAGTCAATGCCCTCAAAGCCCTCATTGCACACGCACTGCCCATCAATACAGCGGCCACGCTTGTTACAGTCCTTGGGGCACCTCCGCTCGCTACAATCGTCGCCCACAAAGCCTTCATCGCAGAGGCACAGACCATTCTCACAGCGGCCATTGCCATTGCAATTGTTGGGACAGGTCAGCTCCCCACAGTCTTCCCCAGTGTAGCCCTCTTCACAGTAGCAAGTCCCATTGACGCAGCGGCCACGGTCAAAGCAGTCATTGGGGCAGATCAGTTCACTGCAGTCTTCGCCTGTGTAGCCCTCATCACAGACACACTCATTTTCAACACAGCGCCCTCGGTTGTTGCAGTTGTTCAGGCACAGGGGCTCACTGCAGTCCTCCCCAGTGAAACCTTCAACACACATGCACCGCCCATTCACACACTTCCCATGCTCACTGCACAGTGGTAGGCAAAGCTCTTCAACGCAGTCTTCTCCGGTGTAACCCTCAAAGCATACACACACACCATCAATGCACTTGCCTTGGTCATTACAATCACCAGGGCAAGTGAGTTCGCTGCAGTCCTTGCCTGTGAAGCCCTCATCACAGATGCATTTGCCATTAACACAGTGGCCTCTGTTGTAGCAATTGTTCAGGCATTCTGGTTCTGAACAGTTGGGTCCTTTCCAGCCAGGATCACAAATGCAGCCACAGATCTCAGTGCTGTAGTTCCCTCGTCCACTGCAAAAGGGTGTGGTATCCACTCGACCTGCATTAGTGCACCAGAAACCTTGTTACAAACAATGAGCTACAGCATGTCACAGATTACACAAGCACTGATAATAGCACTTTGGCCCCTAAAAAGTGTATACTCTGGTCAAATAATGGAGATCAGCATCTGCTGACTCCAGTGACTAGGCTTACCTTTCCTCTTGAAAAATGAAAATAATGAGAACAAAAAAATGAGCTGGTACCACTACACATGTCAGTTCAGCGTTGGGTAAACTTCAAGAGGTTTGGCTGGGATATACATACAGAAGTTTTAAGATTTCAACACTTCTTGTTTTGGGTTGTCCCAGAAATACTCTGAAAATAGCTTCTGACACTTCATTCCATTGCTTTTACAGGAGATCCCAGCCAAACCCAACAAGAGTAGAGGTGCATAGCCATTGGGGATGTGGGGGTAGGAACAAAAAGAGGTAATAGCAGGAAATGATAAGAAATAGAGTAAACTTTCTTAATTTTGCCTTTCCTGAGAGCCCCAGTGTTTGTGCCCCCAACTTGGCTCATCTGATAGGGATTTGATTTTTATAATGTTGATGCCCAATGGTTTCTGAGAGAGATCTGGCCTTATAAAGGCATTTCAAGTGAACACTATAACATACTTGTTTCTCTTGTAAACTTTAATTCACTAGGACCTCTTTAATTCACACTAACAACAGGGAAATCCTGTTGCCAATTATCACACTTTGTAGATTAGTCTATATGACCATTTAAATGGTTGCATCTATGCTGTTACAGCATCTAATGCAATTTTCCTGATTGGCCCATCAAAGAGATTAATTTACCATGTACCACACACTGATCCTATCTCTGCTTGAGCAACCATCAAGATATAAGTAGGGTGCTATATAAAGCGCTACATTATAGGCACAAGAGTTTTTAGATGTACAGTAAGATACATTGTTATTGTTATTTTCTCTCAGCTTCCCTGGGTGCCTGGAACTTCTCTGTTTCCCTTGTATCTGTTTGCTCCCATTGCCTCTAGCTTATGGTGTATAGACTGCTGTATCTCCTTCCTAAAGAACAGTTGGAAGTAAGAAATTTGAGAGCTTTCATTGTCAGTGTTAAACTGACAGCCTGTTCCAATGGACTAGGCATAGGACCGGAAGCCAGGAATGGCTGAGTTGCAGTCTCAGCTCTGACATTGATTGGCTGTGTTGGCTTGCATGAATCACATACACATTCAATGCCTCGGTTACCGCTTTGTAAAGCTGGAAGAATAATGCTGGCCTGCTTTGGGGAAGTGGGGAAGTTGTGAAGATTAATTACAACTTCAAAGTGCTGTCCAAAAATTAATTAAAGAACTATACATTGATGGATTTTAGGCAGTTCCAATGAACAGACCTCTATATTACATAAAAAGTAACATCTGGGGCCAGAATCTTATCAGGTATAAAACAGCCTAGCTCTGTTTAAATCAATAGAATTATTTCTTCTCAAACAAGGTCAGAATCTAGCAGTTTCATCTAAGGATCTGAAAGCTCCTTCCTAGCATTATAAAAAATCTCACCTCCATTTGAGTTGGATATGTTTTTCCTATTCTGCAGATGAAAAGACCGGGATACTGGGATTGAAGTTATTTGCCCATGGTCACAGAATGAGTTTGTGACATAGCCACAACAGACCCATTGCTCCCGATTTCCAGCCCTATGTCTCTCTCATCCTTTTAATAGTCACCGGAGAAGCTCTGAGGTGATCTGGAGAATGTGCTGAGTACTTGCAAGTCCCACTGTAGTCAATAATAGTAGGGTATTCAACCCAGCTCAAAATTAGACCCTTGCATAGAGTGCTGACAATCACTAAAAATACTAATTTCTGGCTCTCCCCTGTGCCCCCCACCATATAACTCGAGAGAGACTTTAGAATTATATGGAGATCAGGAGAGAATTAGCTTAGAACAGTATCACTACAGTTGCCTGCTTGAGGTCTGCAGTTGCTCCAAATCTTCTAGTAAAAAAAGATCCCCATCTTTGATAGAACTTTAAATCTGATGGATGAACACATTGAATTTTGCATTTTAAAAAAAATCAAATCTGGTATTTGTTCCAAATAAGATCTGCAGCCAACACCAGACTTTATTATGAAGCTGCTCTATACTTATCCCTCCTACCTTCTGCTGTTTGGGCACTGGGGCAGCAGCCTGCACCAATGGTACACTGCTCTCGTAAGGAAGATACCAGCCCCTCCAGCTCCTCCAGTCTGCTCAGCAGATCCTTAATATCAGGAGCAGATGCACAGCCACATGCCCGCCGAGGAATATTGATGCGATGCGTGAAGACGATCTGGTTATCCTCATTCACTGTGTGCTCCTTATAGTCCTTGCTTGGCTCAATCTCAGCCTTCAGGTCTGCATCTCCACTAGCTGAATCCAAGTCCACAGAGCAGAGGGATCCCACAGGCAACTTAATGTTGTAGATATGGTTAAAAACTACAGGCTGATTATCATCTGGCAAGGTCACATTTAAACCAGCCTCCCTCTTTTGCCGAATAATTCTCTTGATGAGTCCACCACTGACATGCTGGTGTAACAAAACTATGATTGCACAGGCCAAAACCTGAGTTGGGAGCCCCATCGTAACGCTCAGTTCCTTTGGGACTCACTTGGTGCTCTAATGCTGTTTTGCTTTCACAGTCTGGTGTAGAATTCAGACAGCCAGTTCAAACAAAGTTGGGTATCTGTTCTCTTCCTGATGTGCTTGCTCCCTGCAACAAGAAAGTTACATAGAATGAATTCCCACTATACTTCCCAACAAAAATCCATGATCCCAAAGTATGTTGACCTCCAAGCAAAAGTGAACAGCGGTGCTCATCAAAGTAGGATCTGAGTAGACTCAAGCCACAGAACATGTATTTTAATATTAATGTTGTCCAAAGTCTTAATAAACTTGCTTCATAGCACTCTGCAGGGAAGACCTTGTGAGGAAAGGCTGAGAGACTGGACCTTCGTTTTTAGCCTCTGCAAGAGAAGGCTGAGGGGGGATCTTGTGGCAGTATACAAATTCACCTGGGGGTGTGGAGGAGGGAGCAGCAGGGAATAGGAGATGCTCTGTTTACCAGAGCACCCCTTGCAATAACCAGAAACAACGGCCACAGGCTGATAGAGAATAGATTTAGGTTGGACATCAGAATGAACTTCTTCACGGCTAGGGTTGCCAGAATCTGGAACAGGCTTCCAAAGGAGGTGGTGCTCTCCCAACCTTGGGGGTCTTCAAGAGGAGATTGGACAAGCACCTGGCTGGGGTCACATGACCCCAGCCCTTTTTTCTGCCACTGGCAGTGGGGTTGGACTTGATGATCCTTTGAGGTCCCTTCCAACCCTAGCATCTGTGAGTCCCATAATGAGAATTTCTAACTTCAGAGAGATGCATATAAATTCTATTGGTGTCCCCAGGAGCTGTGGGTGTGTCCCTAGAGTGAGGATTTAGGCACTTGGAAACAAGTACCATAAGCAGTAACTGTTGAGGTACTTATTAAGAATAATCTATTATTCAAACAGGAAAAAGAACAGGTCTAAAAGTCAAACAAAACATTAACAACATTTTCATTCTTAAAAAAAACCAAACAACAATAAAAACAAAAACTTCAACATTTTGATTACATTCAAGCAGAAAATGTACAAGTCCCTTCTCCCCTCACCTGTGAGCCAACTGGTTTAAAGTAAAACCAAATGAATGATCAAAGCCAACTGTTTCATTTAATTATACTTGTTGGAGGATTCAGTGTTGAGGCTTATATTCCAAGACATGTTTCTTAAATTCAGTTGCTCAATGAACTTGTCTACTGCAGTGGTGTAAATGTGCATCTGAGAACTGTCAACATTAAGGACGTTGGTGTACTTTTCAGGCTAACCAGCAATACCTTCTTGTAAAAGCACAGAGCATAGGAATGGCACCAGTCAACACTGCCTGTGAATCCAGTCCATCAAACATACTGAGAGAAAGATAATATGAATCCAAGTGTAGCCAATATACATTGGTCTGTTGTGCTACAGCATGCTTATCAGGATAGGACATCAGACAGGTGGTCTGAAGGAAAAAATAGAGATAATAATCTGGAAAAGCATGAAAAATAAGAGAAAGAAGGAAAACAAATATCCTTTGAGCACCTGAGTCCTCAAAGAGAAAGTAAAATACATACGTTGAGTCAGATGTGAACAGATCTTTTTAGCAACAGGTGAAGGCTTTCATTAATATTATTTTCCAATGCCTGATCTTTCATCATCTATATCTATACCTATATCTATATCTATATCTATATCTAGGTCGATAGAAAGATAGACAGATATTTTTAGCCACAGTACATGGCCAGGATGCAATAACCCTTTTAACTCTCATTCCTTTTGAATTCATCTCAACTTTTGTTCCCCTAATTTCAAATGACTTGAACTAGGAAGTAGCTAACAAGGTTGAAAAGTGCTGATCTTCTCCCATTCAAAATCAGTCTTTCTCTCCAGGGGAGACCTGCAGAGAGCCAATTAGGCAAGCTAAACAAACACACCTAATAAATGCCATCTGAACTGTGTTAAATGGACAGATCTGTGGTCAGGCCTTGCCTACTAATCTTTCTTTGTGTTGGTAATTGCCCGAAGAGCAATAAAAACTTTAAAGCCTAAGGCTTTAATGGCAACAGATAAAGCTGATGGATGATTAACATTTCCTGGCCCTTTGCAGCCTGTAAAGTGCAGAGAGCCATGTTTCCATTCCAGTCCCAGCAGTTTTTATAACAGAAAGACAACAATTCCCTTGGATCCAGGATTCGTTTTCTTCATAGACATAACTCCCAAAAAGTGAACGTTACCCCTTTTTATTGGAAAATAGACCAGAACTGAATGAGCAACAGTAGAGGGTTTTACTTTTCTAGTAAACCATTTAGGTCAGAACCATTCTCTAGTACTGTCCCTACCTGTTTGAAGCATTTGGGCTCAGTCATTGAATCAGTAAAGGTCACCAAATAGGTAACAATAATAGATTTATCAGGAACAAAAAAGCTCCCATCCAATCACCCTAACTCATTAGCAAATGATAAGACCCCATTTAGGTCTCAAGTCCCTCTCTAAAGAGAGAACTGATTCGGAAAAGTATCCTTTTTCAGGACAGTACTTAAAACAGGTTGAATTTCAGTGTGTGCTTAAGATCCAGCTAAGTCAATAGGTTGTGTACGCCACACTTAAAGGCATGGTTCTCTGAATCAGGGTCAACTACTGCAGCTTCTATCTAAGAATCTCAACATGATTTACAAGCAATGAATGAAACTGAGATTTATGGCGCACAACACTTTTCCCCTAGAGATATCAAATGACTTTCAGATATCAGATATCTCTAGGTTTTTTTTTTCCAAGTGACCGGATGGGTGTTTGTCAGGCCTTAACCACACCTTCCCTTGAATACAAAGCAAATTATTGTCTGATCTATAACAAAGTAAAGGCTGCCATTTTGAAGGAGCATTTTCAGACTGTAAAGCAAACAGTTCCCAAAGGATTGCAATTGGATTTGGGCACCTAAATCCCTCAGGCCTCTTGGAGAATCTCCCCTAAAGGAATATGAGCATGACCTAAAACTTATTATATTTCTCAGCCAAAGGATGATACTGGAACACTTAATATATTTCTACAGGCATTTTTTAAAAGTTCTTGAGGGTGGTCTGGAAGAAGAGTTCTCCGTTGCCTGAACTGTGGCCTCTGTGTCTGGAATGATTCAGATCAGATATTTCTTGTCTGATGTGACAAGGACCCATCTTGGGAAACTGATGATATCTGAGCTCTACTCTATGAGGTAGCTTCCTATAATCCTTTATAAATTTGTCATGTTTTGGCCAAAGCAACAAAGGCGACATTCCTTCCTGAAACTCCCATCCTTCAAGCATGTCTCCCCAACAGCTCAAGTCATTATGGACCACCCAGGAGCAGGTGGTCCTTAAAGGATGCAAGCCATGGCAATCATCAGTATTTGTTGTTTGTTTGCTCCTTCCTCAACAAACACCAGAAGTTTTGTGTTGCTTTGTAAAACAGTACATAAAAAGTTATGGACATGTTATCTAATGGAGATCTCTTCTAAAGATTTTCTTTATAGACATTAAGGATTTTGATGTTTTAATTACTGGAGCCAACAAAGCTTGTGGCAAGAGTTTTCAGAAGAAGGCCCTAATATGATGGCCTTTATTCATTGGAGACTCCATCTTCTTATCATGTATTCAAAAAAACTTGACTTTAACTAAGCAGTTAGTGTGCTAAGTCTACTTCCTATTAGCCAGACTTAATGTCCCCCCATCGGTCTGCATCTACCTGTGCTGTGCCTTGTTTACATTGTACAGTCCTGTGGACAGGATTAGTCTTCTTGTTCTGTGTTGGTATGGCAAACCCATGACTAGCTACACTCCTTAATACTAGTTTGTATACTTCACTTTGTGGGAAAGGTGCTGAATATTCTCAAGCCCCATTGAATTGTGTGAGAAATTAAGATGTTCAGTAACTAACAAGACAAACCTGAAGCAATGCTAATTACTTGATACTTAATGAGAAGTGCCATGGAATTTGATGACAAACTGATTGCAGGATCTGTTGTTTCCTGATAGATTATCGATGCGTATTACATACTCCTGCAGAGACCTATTTTTTCATTTTGTTGAGCATGAAAGCAAGTAATCCAGAATGTTTTGAAGAAGACAGGTCATGCCTTGGACAGTAAACTTTAGTAACACTGACTCTCATAAAATACTCTAACTGTACATTTTTAAAACTGCACATGTTACTGTGGGCTATTTTTACAATTTATTGCCCTGACAGCACATGGCGGGGGGGAGAGACTAAGAATGCAGGCTGCATTTTTCCATGCTGTATTTAAGGTAATACCTAGATTCCAATGAAGTTAGTTAAGACTTTTGTTTCTGATTGGGAAAATAATCCCAACTTTATTGCAGGGATTTTTTTTCTTCCTCTTCCTATACTTTCTGCAGACTGTATTTATTGAATGTACAGCAAAATTATGAAAAACAGTTCCCACAATAAAAAAAGCATTATGAGCATAATTCTTACCTGTCTACACTATGGGTTAGAAATGCACAGTTTACATTTGCTCTGGAAAAACCCAAAATAAAATTCAACTTAAAAAAAAATGAAAACACTTTCCCCACCCCCATAAAAATGTCCATTTCACCGTACAGCCTCGGTGAACATTTTTCAGCTAATCTGGAATACCGCTCAAAAGTATTGAGCCCCAGTGGCTGTGTCTACATGAGACACTGACTGTGCATTTGTTACTGTGCGGTCATTTAGTACTTGCATATCAAAGTACTAAATAACTGCACAGAAATTGGAGCTACTGCGACTAATGGAGCTACTACTCCAGCCACAGAAACTGGAGCCATGCAGCCAGCTCTGCATGGCTCCCTGGTGATGCTGACTGCACAGTAGTTCATTACTACTGAGCAGAAGTGTCACATCACAGTTTGTGCTGCGGGATTCAGTGTCTTGTGTTGATGCGCCCAGTTAGTGTAAAGAAAACACAATCTGTTAATATTTTGCTTTTCCAAAGAGGTGTTTTCAAAAGGCTATCGATGTGAGAAGATATATTATTGGCTGCATAGCTAATGATTCAAGTGTAACTTCCAATCTGTGTAAATTCAGAAGGAGTGGCAGGGCTATCAGATGACTGATGGGCCCATGGCGCTGTGAATAAGCAAAAAAGAATGTGTTGTGATTTTCAAGA